TTAAACAAGCTTTTTTACACTACTGAATCAAGTACCCAGGCAACACCGCTGGCTAAGGATGATGAGAGTTAAAGTTCTGTTTGTAATCATGGTAACCTCAAACCATGCATACCGGATATTGCCAGGTAAATGGTTGGAACACAAACACTCCCCTTCCCTCTGAGCACCAATTATGCAGAGTGGGAGTTAGCCATGGCCAGCTGTGCTACATCTGAACACTGATTCAGCAAATACATTCCAGTGGTGCATATTTAATTTGATTGTTCAGTTTGTTTTGGAGGGATCTGGGGTATATATTCTCTTGTCTGCACATTTGTTACTTGTTACCTGTCCTGATGAAAGGTCTATGTTGGAGCTGAAATGTTGCTACTTTATATGGAATTTTAAAAAAGCTAAATTTTACTACTTCAACCAGGTCCCAGGAGTGCGATTGTTTCTACACCCACATATATATATATATATATATATATATATATATATATATATATATACACACACACACACACTACCGTGGCACGATGACTTAGAGGGCATTCCCAGTCCGGCCCTGAATGCATCTCTATGAGGAAAAGCTGACTAGCGCACTGTTTTGACTCAAATGCGCCGTAACCTCCCAATGCTTTTTTTATGGTAAAGCATTGGATTGGATGAGATCATCAAAACTGATCTCAGCGATGGAGGCAAGCCCAGCAAGGTGAGTTAAACACATTTTCATTGCAGAAGGGAAGGTGGGCAAACACCTAAACGTATTACTAACACTAAAGTGATTCTCTAATACAGCAGGGTTATAGAACTTAATGTAAACTCCATTTTTTTTATGGAGACTGTGACTCGCTGTCAGGAGAGGTGAGGTACAGCTCAATAAATCTTAACAAAATCTCGTAAATGTCAGATAGTTGAGCAGTGAGACTGCAGGGACGAGATCGATACACCAAAACTGCTTCAGTAACGGACAACTGTCACCTCAAAACTATGTTTTAATAATCCTTTCAAGTTTTTAAATTAAATGTTTTTTTAAAGTTTTTTTTATTTAATTAAGCATATGTAAAAAAAAATAATAATAAAAAAAATCCCATAAAAAGGGTCAAGAGCCTAAAGGGGTCAAGGCAGATTTGTAGTTTGAGCCCCTCCTTTATTCATTACATAGATATGCTAATGGCCAAGCAAGTTCATGGTTCCTGAGCCCTAGGCAGCTTACCTTATGGTAATTCCTGGTTTGATCCCAACCTTTAGTATATGACAAGTACCTTTAGCCATATACATGAACCTTGGGTTGGCCATTGTTTAAAAACCAACAGGTAGTTAGTTTCTATGATCTTCTCTGCTCACTCTCTGCACAGAATAGGGAAGACAGAGACTGTCAAATCTCAAACAGTCTCAGCCCACGGTGTATGTATATGGCTGAAGATTACTGTCATATACCAAAGGCAGGCATGAGTCTAATTTTATTACATATGCTGAGTTTGAAAAAATATCTATTTCCTTTCAAAATTTGATAAAAGGAATATTATATTAAAAAAAATAATTTTGAGGTGACAGTTGTCCTGTAAGATAAAGTTGTTTTGGTGCTTAGTGTCCCTTTCACTCATCTTGCGGAATGCTCTGTATGAAATGATGGTGGAAGCTTTGGTTAATTGGGTATTCAGCTGTGGGTTTGGCAATTGCATATTTTCCATGTTCAAATATACTGCTTTATCTTATTTCAGGATTTCTGTGATGTATAGCAATTTATTAGTATATGTAAATATACTTATTTTCAGAAAGGACTTGTGTATAATTATTAATTAAACTTGACATTCTTTCTAATTTGCATTTTTGAAAACATGGGAGAGAAAGCGAGTTACACAAACAAATCGAATGATTGAGAATGCTATGTCATGTTTTCATTTCATAGATCTGTCATGTATGTAGACCTAGCTGTCTTCACAATATCTGGTGGTGTTGTCCCGTTTCATGTTGTATATGAAAATAAGTTACATAATAAGCTTTTTTTGGCTTTACTTGTTGTACTATGTATAAACGGTGCTCTTTGTAGCGAATACCATTTGGTGCTTAAAACAACTTATTGTGAAGATAGAAAAAAAGAGGGAAGGTGTTATGGAGTGGAATGAACCACCACCACTACCCCAGAGAAGGTTACGGGAGGTATTAGGGGCTTAACCTTTCATCCTCCACTTTATAGGGAGGTACTGGTAATACCTAGACACCTCAGGACTCAGTCCGGGCGCCTATACCTGTGACTACAGCTCTGCCTGAATCTGTATTTGTTGTTGTCGGCCCTATAACCACTGCCAGACACCTACCATCCCATTAGCGCTATTTTTACTTCTACTGTATGACCAGACTAGACCGTGTTGTCACACATGTATGAAGGGACCTAGGTGACTCTACTTTGACCTCTTAGAGCAGGGGTAGGCAACCTTTTAGCAGCACTGTACCGATATAGGATTGTGATGTCCCGTAGCGTGCCGGTCCTATTTTTTTAAATTGAGGTATGTATGATGCCGTATTCTGCTTGTGTTATTTTTACTGTAATTGCCTTGTATCGTTGTATTTGTGCGTATATGAGCTATTAGTTTGTATATGTTAATTAGTAGTTTATGGTATCGTCTATGATACATATGAATGAGGGCTGTGTATGAGGGCTGCTTGTGGAATTGTGTGTGGATGGATATGTCACATTGTGTGTTTGGTAGTGTGTGAGGGCTCTTTGGGGTATTGCATGTGAGAGGCTGCATGCGGGGTTGTATGTGGATTGTTAGTGGTGTTGCGTTTGTGGGGATTGTGTGTATGTGTGTGTGTGGGCTGTTCATATTATTTGTATGAGGGGAGGGTTATTCTGAATTTCTGTGTATATCTAGCAGTGTGGGTGGCTTCCCTGGGTTCCAGTGGGGACCAGCCTGGGCAGGTACAGGTCAAGGACAGGAGCTCCAGGCTGCTCTACTACGGTGTGGATTCCCATTCACAAGTGCTGGGAGGAAGTGATCTGAGATTACTTCCTCTATGTGCTGCAATGCATAAATTGAGGATTGTCCTTCACCACCTCTTTGTATTAGCAGATATCTGAAGTTTTACTGGGACTCCTGAGCCTGTTTGGCTCTAGCAGCCTTGAGTGCCGTGCATGGCACTAGTGCCGTAGGTTGCCTACCCCTGTCTTAGAGGTTCATATTACTCACTCACCTGAACCCTATATTTAGTAATCTGACTTTTTAGGATTAGCCCGCCCAGGCTTTTATAGGTTTGGGTGTTCACTCTATCACTGTTTAATACACATTTTTTGGTGTATTTAGTATAATACTTTTTTTTTTTAGCATTTTTCTAATAAAGGTTTATTACCCCATTTATGTTACTCTTTATATTAGGAGGTATTATTGAATGGGTTGGATGTTCCTCCTACTATCTTATTGTGAAGCTATCACATGGTTACTGGCTATATTTTCTTAATGTAGAATTCCAGTTATTTGTGTATTTTTCTGGCTAGAGGTCACTAGCAGATTATAGAGAATCAAATTCTCATTCTTCCAATTTTTTGGAGGTTTTGGCAGCACACAATGTCTCTGGGAAACCAACATTAAAGAGATACTGATAGCTTCATTACCAAAACAAAATAAGTTTGTTAACGAACACAGTGACGTATCCTCTTGCCATTTGTCATAACTTAACCATTTTTGTTCCTCCAGAAATTAAAGAATTCATTTGATTGTTTGTGCTGACACTGATACCAAGAAATGCTCAAATAACATTGTTTAATATACGTTATATAGTATGCAAGTGTGTCAAATAACTAGAACTCACAAACCCCAAAGATTGTATATAGACACCCAAAAATAAGTGACAGAGGAGGAAATACAGATACTATATTTTGGGAAAATATATTTCTGGCCAACGAAAGCAAAATATTGAAAACCTTTATTGATTTAATCACCATTTCTTTATTTTTCCGAATTTCACCATAAATTTAATATGATACAATACATACTTTATTATAAAATGCAAAGCTTCAATGTCCTGTTCATGTTTTTTGTTATAGGCTTAACTATAGCACCGTAGGCATTTCTCAAGGATTCCTGTTAAAATGTACCTGAATCAAATCTATTTTAAATTCTATTATTTTTTTAAGCAGCATTGCCATGTGTACAGATTGCAATTGTGCAACACCCATTGTCCCTGGTGTATTACTCCAAGTACTGTGATTTACAGATTCCTCTCTATGTGAAGTCTGAGTAATCATACCCACCGCCTCTAATTTACTCCAATGTCCACTTCGTGAAGATCCAATGAGTATCCATTCTATACCTGTCATAATCGTAATAGAACCAGCTATCTAAAGATCCATTTACAAAGGTTTTTGACACTGATCACTTTACTACTGGAGGACTGGTTTGGGGGCCAGCTCTTTCTAAAAACCTTGGCCTAAATTTCTTTACCCATATCTTAGGCCTCTCTACCTTCTGTCTAAGGTATCTTAGGCCTCTCTACCTTCTGTCTAAGCCTAATTTCTGTCTTCTACCCTCTCACGCCAAAATCTTGAACATCCTCTGGAAGTCCTAACCACACACCCTAGTTTTTTTTGTTTGTTTTTTAACCATTATTGTTGTAAAGACTTCGGTAGAAGATATTGGTTTGGTTGTGGTCATTTAAACAAATATCCCACTACCCTGTATTTAACTTTAAACAAAAGCCTTGTACAGTGTCACTGTAAATTTTGTTCATGTGGGTTGGATGTATCTGATGTGTTGTAGAGTTTGGAGTCCCCCTAACCACGAGTTTCACTTTCGTGTTGCAAACCGTTTACATTGTCTGCTTAGTCTTCTGCCATTGTTTTAGAATACTTCTTATTCTTGAAAAATCTCAAAGTAAGTTAGGAACTCCACTGAGCACAGGTGCTTATCAAAAGATTTTATAGTTATTTGGGAGGTGGATGCTTCCAAATGTGCATATGGGTGTTAGCTACAGCAGCTATTCAAACCAAATACTAAAGCTTTGGAAAAATAAAATTAAAAACAATTGTTTAATGAATGCCTTTTTGTTTTTTGTTTTTTCTATAAAGGCAAAATGTAAAATCTTCTTACCGTCAGTACTGTGCAGAACAGCACCACATATCTTTGCATAGTGAGTGCATTACAGGCATTCTTGACAGGATGCAATGACGGTCTGCAATTGCCTTTATAGTACGAAAAGTTAGATATCGCTTTTTTAAAATTTTGTTTTATGTGCAGATTATGCCTACATGCAGACATTTCTATATTCTGACGACTTTTTAGGAGGCTGGGTTAAAAATATGGCACCCAAGCCCTTTCAATACTTCTAATCGTGGTAATTGTCCATTTTTATTTATTTGCCACACTTACTGTAAAGGCTACAGTAAATCATGTTATTTTATAATTATATGTCAATTGAATTTCCAACCTGGAATATTGTTAAGGGATACCATATAGTCTCAGAACATCTTATCTCTCTAATATTTTTAAACACTACATTAAAATTGTACAAATTGGCATTATTTTTTTTTAATCCCTACATCGTGATTGAAACACAACATTGTTAATTTGTCCTATATTTAGGTGCTAGCTATTCATCCCATGTCAGATAATTGGGCTTTTAATTTTTTTTTTTTATTAAACAGAAAATAAAGTAGCTGGGGTAAAAGAACAAAACGTAAATAACATTTAAACATCCATTTATTTTTAAATCGATTTATCAAGATCTATATAAAAACCAGTAACTGAAAATAATGAAATGTTCCTTCACTTGCTGGAATTCCACAGGCACTGCGCTGAGCTCTGCCTGACCAGCAAGTTACACCGCCAATAATGAAGGACTATGTGGCTTACAAACCAGATGCTATAAATCCCAGCACAGCTGGGAAATGGCAGCTTTACATTACAAATAGAAAAAAAAAAGCAAGAATTACAACTTCCCGCGGTATATTTTGGTGCAAAAGAGGGAACGCTACAGATTGGGAGGGTGAGCTTCTGAGAAAACATTTGTTTAAGCCTAAATATTATACGTCGTTGAATGTAATCTGACCTACATATTGCATCTAACGTGGGAGGCAGAATGACTCCTTTCCTGCAACAAAATGTTGTTTGACTATCATTTAAAGTTGTGGTCATGATGTTGTAAACACTAGTCTTCGCTTTCATTTCTTAGCATTAAGACAGACAGCACTGAAATCCTCACTAGCTCAACTAAGGAGCTAACCAATGAGCTATAGTTGAGTATTTTTGCCTACCGTGGGTTCCATGCACTGCATGTAACAAGTTTTGTACAGCAATGGCGGAACTTCCAGGGGCTATTGCGACTGGGCCCTTGAGTCCCGTCTGTCAAGGGCTCCCTCTTGCAAAAATGTTATATAGTATATTGCCTGATCATCACTATACTAAATAACCAATTACACAGCAACTGGTTTCAGGTGGGGGATGATCCTGCGGTCGTCTTCATTTGTTTGTGTCCAACGGAGGGCAATTGAGTGATCATGCCGGAGCTCATTGCCTATCACTTCTCTTTCCATCTTTCTGGGTGGAGACCATGAATTGTGGCTGAGCTGCCTCCTAATCTGCTGGAAGCGCCCCTCTCTCAGTCCCTGAGATGCCCACAGCCTTCAGACAGCAGAGGGGAAGCCCAGCAGAAGGTTCAGGCTCATACTGTGCCTGATCTCTCCTTGCACACATATAAGGCTGGCTCTACTTCTCTCTTTCTATCTCTTCAACTTTCTAGTTATCTGGCTCTCCTCTTTGTGTGTCTATCGTGCTTCCTCCTTCTCTGTCTCTGTATCAATTTACTTGTCTAGTTCTCTGTCCCTTTGTCTCTCTTTCTTTGGTTTGTCTCCATTCCGACCTCCCTCCTCGGCTTTCCTTCCTGTATTTCTCTGTTTCTCTCCCTCCCTCCCTCTGACTCCTTCTTCAGCTCTCTATGGTGTTCCTTCTCTCTCTTAAACAATCACACTCCTCCAAATTCAGACAGAGATATTATACTCAGTCAACCACCGCACAATCACACACAGCTTCCACAAGTATTGCTTAGGGAGGAGTGACAATGAGGGCCTTCTCTAATTTTTGAACTGGGGCCTTACGCCCCTATTGCACAGCACAGAGTAAATTACATTAAACCCACAGTGATGTACATACAGTCACAATTAATACTTCTAGCACTATTAAACAGAGGCCCAAACGAACATGCAATCTAATCACTAATCTAGGACTTTAAGGGAGGGAGGAAGGGAAACCTACCAAATTAACTATTTTATTTAGAACTTGGTCATTTTGGCTATAATTTTGCAATACCTATGATAGTTCTCCACAATTCTTTGTATTGTGAATGAATCCCATTGTCATAATGAGACCAAGAACAATCATCTACATGGAACGGGTTGGTTATAGTAGGTTTAAAGAAGGCTTAGTCACACGTATGTAACATACCTGTATAGCACCATGCTGGAGGCCATGCCAATAGTGTAATACAGAGTATCTTAATCAGGTAAGGCTTTTTCTAATGTTGTGTGATGACAAAACATAACATCTACTATGGTACGTGAAGAGACATATCAAGGCTTAAAATGCGTATTATTTGTGGACAAAGTGCTACATAAAGTGCAATGAATCTAGAAACACATTTAATGTGTCTCACAATTAAAACTTTAACCCAAAGGAGCACCAGTTTCTGACAAATATTTGTCCCTAAAGCAGTGATTCTAAATAACAGGTAGTATAATTAAAAAAAAAAGTAAAATAAAATGCTATTATCTGGAATGGGGCACAAAATGCACGTTTACTGAAACACAAGATGTCTTCAAGTTTGTATTATTCACTGATTTGCTTGGAGATATTGGATCTATCCAATATCATCTACTTCTAGACCGGAATACAAAACAATAATTATCTAAAATGCTACCCTGGTGAAGGGTATTGTACCTCCCTAGCAAATTACATTTTGTGAGGGATTAATGTGCAAAAGCTTTATTTTTATTAATTTTTTCTGTTTTGTTTAATGAAAGAATACCATCAGAACCAAGAGTGCTGCTAATTAATAACTAAAATGTATCAAGGACGGGCTTGGAGATGTATCAAGTGCGGACTTGACACATGGAAAGACTTGATTCTTTAGGCTTTGAGCAGCTGTTGTACATGACCAGTTACATTAAGGAACTCTCCTGTCCATGCACATCTGGACGTATCTGATGTATGTTGTCAGCATCCTACCAACCAGACAGTTGACATTTAATTGGGCAGGATGTGAGCATGGAGAACACAATCCTACGTTTCCTGCACTCGTATGCTCCAGGAATAAGTTGTGAGTACTCTATCCCGTTTCTTCACAATGCAGGTGTAGAGACCCTCATTAATGGCATTGGCAATTATACTCATGTGGTCATCATTGAGAGAGAGATATCCGGGATAGGAGTACTCCAGAAGCTCTTTGTCTTTGTACCAGCTGTGGGTAGAGAGGGCAAATTAAACCATTGCAAACCTGGCTAGAATCATGTAACACATTGTACACTAATATAACCTATTCAAACCTATTACTGAGACGTTGCATGGATTTCTTTTGCCATGAAAACATTTAAGTGAGTCTTCCATGGTTTGTTTTGCTAAATATTCATTCAATATGAAAATCGCTTATTTTGCTCAAAATCAACAAGACGCATGGAAGCCCAGAGAGGCCATGTATTTGTATTTTTTTAAAATTTCTGACTTATGTTGAGAAAACAAAGTGTTATCCCAAGAAAACAACTTTTTTTCAACATAAATTGTTTTATGAAGAATATTTTTACACTCAAATTCATAGGTTACAGGCTGGGCAGTTGATTTTCCTTTCAATGTATGTGCTTCATCACTGCATCAATTCCTGACTGAAATCTAGCCAAGCTAATGTAATGTAAAAAGAATACTTTTCATTAAAAAATAAAAAATAAAAAGTATGACATAAATTGTTTTCTCTAGATAATAACCTATCAGAAAATTATTAATATAACTGGCCTCTATAAGCTTTTACAGGACAACAATGATTCTGACTTTTTTCCTGTTTTTTTTTTTTTTCTTGTATATTTAAGTAGTGCCCTGATAAACCCTGATTAGTATGTGACATTTAAACGGACACTCTACATTAAGCACTTGTACTTGCGGAATATGTTTGCAGCAAATCCCCACAAGCAGCTAGTTTGGTGGAATGTCTACAAGTAGTAGAATATCACTCCGATCTGTCAGGCAGTCCTGATCCTCCCTTTGATTGTATTCTCACCCCACAGTTTCTTAAGTGTCTTTATAACGATAAATATTACTTAGTAATACAGCATGGAAGGGCTGACAAGGGGTGCAATAGCCAACATGGTCACTAGCATACAGGGGTTGTGGGCTGATTTAAAGCAGTGGGCAGTGATTGGCAGCAGAATGATAAGGACTGTACTTACTAAACTTTGCCTTTTTTATGTATAATTTTTTTCCCACATCTAAAGGTAACATTTCGACCTTCGGGAACCATTCGTACTTTCGTTCGGGGTGGAGTAGGTGTGGGCATTTTGGTTGGAAATGGAAAATCTGCAGAAAAGAAAAGATACAAACGGTAAAATCCTCATTCTCTATATTCAGTAGAATTTAATAGCAATCAAGGTTTGATAGAATGCAGGTAATAAAACCTTACCATAACAGAAATCACAGCTATAAGGGCAATATTTTTGCATAGGACGCCTCCTGGATTCACAGTAGCCTTTCAAAGCCCACGAAGCACATACTAAGTACCTGTCTCTGCAGCCTGAAAGAGAAATGCAAATTCAGAAGCACAACTTCATCCTGAATGGGCACATGCACATTTTTTAAAATAAATCCCAGTGTATATTTGTCACTAATATTTATTTTGCATCATGCATCTTTACACTCTAAAATAGCTTCTGCTGTGTGAATTTGATCAAAATCTGTCAGGGTGAGAACCATAACCACTACAGCTTAATGTAGTGGTTATGGTGTAAATTGGACATCATCCCATGTTTTAGTCAAGTTCTTCAGGAAACAAAAACAAAACAGGGCTCTTTTTGGCAAACTGAGACTGCCCACTTTCCAGTTTTATGGAGAATGTGGAATGTATACTTAAACATTACCAATATTAATTTCATCGAACCTTGACATTGCAGGTTGGCTGAGAGAAGTGAAGGAAGATTAGACTAACATTTTAACCAACCATTGGAATTGAAGAAAAATAAACAATGCAAATAAAAGTACTTCTGAAGATCCATTGTGCCATGTTTATTAGAGCCATAATGTAGCAGTTATTGGCTGGCGAAATAATCATTACATATGATCTCAGACAACCATATCCTTCTTCATAGGGAAGCGCTAAGAGTGGGCTAATAGGCATGTGTGGCAATCAGCATCTTCTCATCGAGCTACGGAATATGCTGGCGCTATATAAATACCAGTTACAATAATAATAGAGATAAATTGACTCAATGCATCTCTATTGGAAGCATTTAGTATCTCCATTCTGAGATACAAACATCGGTCCTACAAACACTGCTCTATCTAACCCAGAAAGCCTCCCTAGTGGCTCTCTGAATGAAGTGGAGGAGGCATTAGAAAGCAAAGCAAGCACTGTCATTTCTCAGAAAAAGCAGTGTTTGCTTTGCTGAGAGTAGAAGGACAGTCTATTTACACCATGACCAATACATTGAGCTGTAGTTGTTTTGGTGTTTAGAGTGTTCATAAACACATTGCCAGTAACTAATACTCAATCCTCCACCAAATCAATATAGAACATCTAGTAACCGCCATAGAACATGTATTATAGAAATTCCTTGTTATGATGTGACCATACTGACATGCAGTTGATACTTAAAGACCAGGCCTTGAGTCCTGCAGAAACGCGTGGGAACGGCGTCAGGTTTCTTTCTCCCCATTCCTGCTAAGGAAAAAGTAGGCAGAGCAGCACCAGCCCAGGTAGGGCTCTGTCTCCCTTACTGGGCTAGTGGGGAGGTCAAACATCTCCATATCCAGCAAACTGCAGAGGGAGGGCGAAGGCAGCCATGATCTGTGTGCAAACAGATGGGCACTGTGCTGGGAGGAAGTTATTATATTTCACTTCCTCTTGGTCACAGGGAGAGAGACAGGGAGTAAAAGGCTCAGCTCAGCGCAGCACGGGAAAGAGAGGCATCCAGGCAACTGCTGATGATTGTGCACGCTGTCAGTCTGTGTGTTTATGAACGGGTCAGTGTTTGTGTTAATAGGTCAGTGTGTGTGTGTGTGTGTGTGTGTGTTTATGTATGTGTATGTATGTGTATATATATATATATATATATATATATCTATATGTTGGTATGTGTCTGTTTGTATGGGCAGCATGTGTTTGTATGGGATGGTCTGTGTGTGTGTGTGTTTGGGATCTGTTTGTGTGGGATAGAATGTGTGTATGGGTTGGTCTGTGTTTGTGTGTCAGTCTGGGTGGGTGTGTATGGATGGTTGAGGTAATGGTGGGCTTTTATAGTATTTGTTGATTGATTCATTTAATTATCCTTGTACTGACAGCAAGAGCAGAGGTTACCCATAGGTGATGCTACCATGTTTAGCCAGGAATACAGGTTTATCACTGCAGTAATGTGTTCTGTGTCCAGATACAATATATCGATCATTACTGAATTCATAGAGGACACAGCACCGAATAGCTTTAGCAAAATGTTTAGTAATTATCATAGGTGGATATTCTCTCTGAGATTTCAAAGACAGTAGAAATGAAATCTAGGATACAAACACATGTTTCTAGCCACCCTGAAGACAGTAGGCAAAACAATGAATTCCTTATTCAGATTACATGTAGTCTGCACTTACCGTACAAACTGTAGATTCCCCATACATCGTCCTGATAGATAACTTTTTTTCCAGTTAGTGTAGCATTGATGTGCATCAGGGCGTTCTTATTGAGAGAGTGCATGAGCCCCAGGGAATGTCCGATCTCATGGGCTGCCACATGGACCAGATCAGTCAGCCACACGCCTACAAAACAGAGTCACTTTATATAAACTAGCAATAAGTCAAACGACTGAGACCATACTGGCCCAATCAAGTGTAAAAACACACAGTTATTCCCTGTAACATACACTCTGATTTTGGAGTGTTTGTTTTTTGGATGCTGATGTTCATGGTTACCCATATTGTAACAACACTCACTGTTTTAGTATGTATCAAGAAGCAATATCTCTAGAACACACAGACTACCATTAATTGTTATAGTGTAGATCAGGGGTAGTCAACGTTCGGCACCCCAGATGTTTTGAACTACATCTCCCATAACGCTTTACAGTCGTAATGCTGGCAAAGCATCAAGGGAGATGTAGTCAAAAACATCTGGAGTTCCAACGGTGGCCTACACCATCAGTCCAGATTTTGTCAGTTTCCCTATTGAAACAACTATGGAAATTCTTGGTTAGTGTGCGTTTAGGACTGGTTTGGGGACTACTGGTCTAGATACATAAAGACCAGATGCAGGTAAAAGATGATTAATTTACCTTTCTTCCAGCTAAATCTAGTATTTCCCAAAATCCAGTATTCACTGTCATCAAAGTGAATTTCTCCTGTTTGGGGGAAATAAGCATGTGCAAGTTCTCCTGTGGTTCCATCGAAACAGTGATGGATCCGCGATTCCAAGCAATCTGTATGATTAATTCCATAGAATCCTGGAAACAGGAAGAATAAAATCAGAACATAGAATATTTCTATACATATCAGAATTTGATTGACATTTATAGCAATGACTCGAATCTGTTCGAATCATTGACATTTTTAGACTAACTTTGCCCGTGGCACAGTAAGAAACTTTGGTGGAATCTAGATACAGTACATGAACTGTCCATCTCTTCTCTAAAACATTAGCAGCCAAAAGGAAAATACAACACAAATAGGTTTAACATGATTGACACTGACCCAGGAAGCACCTCTAGTGGCCATCTGTGGTGTGGCCACTAGAGGTGTTCCTAGGCAGCAATGTAAACGCTGTCTTATCTTTGAAAAGGTATAGTTTACATTAAAAAGCCTGCAGGGACATGCTATAGGCACCAGAACAACTACATTAAGCTATAGTTGTTCTGGTGACTATAGTATCCCTTTAATATCGCCATCATAATATGCCAACTGTGCAAACAGTAATTAGAAATGTTGTTGTTTTTTTACCAACTATTTGTCTGTTTTATACCAATATGGCTCATGACATCAGTCTACTATAATTATCTGTATTTGAATTACTGTAAACAAAAGTTATGTCCTTCGATTTCTAATATAACACAAAAAATGTAGTGCTTAATAATGTTTGTTATAATTTATATAATCTGCTCACATTCCGGAGCAGACACCCACCAATCTTCAGATCACTTTCTTCGTCTGCGGGAACTTCCTTAAAATGAAATGCTGACACTTCACTCCACATGCGGAACGCTGCAGCTATGCCCTTTTTGGTGTCACTTTCATTGATCAAATTCCTTGGGAATGACACAACTCTGAAAAAAATAAAAATATATATATAATGTTATTTTAAGTGACTGTAGAATGTTTATTCAAGAATGATGATCTTGATTATCAAAAAATGATCTGTATATATTGCCAACTGTCTCCTCAGTCATCTTTTTGGAGGGCGATGGAGCAGGCTGTACTAAAGAATTAAAAAAAATACAGAAACTACTAAAAAGTATAAAAATGTCAAACTTGGGTTTATGACGGTGTTGGATCTGCCTTGTTTGTAACTTTTGAATGGTTAAATCTTATTGGATTTATGCATGCTTCCTGTTGATTGGCTGGAGGCCGTTTGACCTTTGACATCCCCTTGCTGATACAAGGGCACTCCGTACAGCCAATCCTGGTACATTGTCAGTTGACAGCTATATAAGATACCAACGGTGAAAACCCTTCATGCCCCCCCACCCCCAAAAAAAAAAACCTGCTGAATAATCTTTGGAGCACACATACAAAAAAACCTAATGGCTATGGTATAAGTAGAGTGTGATGTGGGATTAGAATATACAATAGGTGGCAACACTGTACATCTTGGCTATTGTGTTACATGTGTTCTTTGCTCTGTCCCATATTTAAGGAATGCGCTCAGAGGATAGATCCCCTAAAGACACCCTGCTTCTATGGGGAATCCTTTACTGGGAATGAAAAATACTGATTATAATAGTAACAGAAAGATAAGAGGTGAAGAATTAACACCAGAATTACTGTCTGCACGCATCCCTTCTGGGGAAAGGCAGTTCATTGAAAATATACATTCTACGTGGCTCTATTTAGTTTTCAAGCTGTGCTTGTTTCAGTGATTCTTAACATGTGTAACGCCCCATGTCATATATTCTCTTTTATCTTAATTTTTTTTACTATTAACTTGATACTCAGATAACCGTAAAACCCAGACTAAGCTATTGCAAGTAGTGCGTAATGTTTGCTTTGTTCTATAAGCACGTGTGGGCATGCTGCCTTATCGAGTGAGCTCAGTGCATTCTTCCCTCATGTTCCAAGCAGATTTATTTTGTGTTATATCAGATACTACTACTGGACAAATGCTATTTAAATTGGGAATAAGCCTTACATAATTCATAGATGTCTACTACTGTAGGTGTGTATTGCCTAGTCCTGCAGGTTAAGTATTATGGTAGTTGCCATTTTGGAACAGCTGTAAATATACTCCCCTCCCCCCCCAAAACAAAATTCTTACATTTTTACTTACTAAATCCAGCATTAAAGGGACCACTAAGCACCAAAACAACTTCAGCTTCACGTACTGGTTTTGGAGCATACTTCATGTCTCTGCAGTCTCACTGCTAAATTCTCTGCCTTTTAGAAGTTAAATCACTTCGTTCATACCTTTTCTGCTTCGCCAAGCAGCAACTCACACAGCCTCCCTATACACTTTCTGATAGAGAATCTATTTTATTTTATCTTTCCTTTATGCACAATGCACTTAATTTAGAATTCCTCCTGCTCTGTTAATTGCCTCCTAGAGCCTGCAACAGCCTCCTGTTAAGTTCAATTAACAGAGCAGGAGATAATTTCTAAAGTAAACACACTGTGCTATAAAATCTGATTAAAAGTGAAGCCCCTTTCTCATGAAATATGCGTCATTTACTGTACAGGTTTTCATACATTATACAAATCCCCAGATAACTAAACAGTATATAAATCAAATCACAATACATACAGACACACCTTTATATATATATATATATATATATATATATATATATATATACATACATACACACACACACACACACACACACACACTTAAATGGTTATATTGGCACATTTAAAATATCATTTACTGTAAAGTTGCCTACAGTTTGCCAATTAACTAGTTATCTACTTGCCCTCTCTCTCAAAAAAACAACAAACTGCAGATTGATTTCATTTTGTTTTGGCTTTTATGGTATATTTTATTGCGAGGTGTAGTGCAACATCAAAGACTTTCTTCTCTGTTTGTAGAAACCCAGTCGTAATGTTTCAGTAATTGTCTTAGCATAGTGAGAGACATAATGAACTCTAAGCGATTTATACTGAAAACATTAGAGAGCTTACAGTTTAATAAAATGTGACACCTATATTGGTTTTGAAACAGTAATAATAAACTGTGATTGCATGCAATAAAACTATATTTGGGTCTCTCTAAATAACTTTATCAATATTTTATGGAGACCCTTTAGAAGATGATGATGATGGATCCACCATATTAAATCACCTATTAATGTACCTTTGGTAATAACTAGATTGATGTACCTGTAGGTTAGGTTGAAGTGGTCCCACTTTAGCAGACCTGGAGTCAACGTGTAACGCTTCGACCTTAGGTGGTGGGGCAGTTTAAGGGCAGATATTGAAGCCACCGTAGACTCTACCTTAGAAAGAAGTAAAGAGTTTATAAGAGCTGCAAGAGTAGCAATCATTAGGAAGGATGACAATCACTGGATGAGTTGCTATATGTTATAGAATTCAAGTCCGTTTAAACAAACACTCCAACCACCATCACAACTATAGTGCACTGTAACTGTTATGTTATATCTACCATCAGCATAAGTGGTTCACACCTGCTGCCTTTATCGGTGTTGTAACTCCCTCCACCCCCACTAGACCCTGGTAGAAGATAGCAAAATCTACCCAGGCCCGGCGCAACAGGCCACAAAAGGGTGCTGTGTGCACCCACATGTCACACAAGGTGGACTACCCCCACCGCCCCCTTCTTAGTAGGTTACTGCAGTGGAGATCCTTTGGATAATGAAAGGCGTGAAAATAATTTTACTAAATTTCAATATGAAGTACATTACAATCTGATTACCGAGCTTATTTTCCAGTTGAAGAATTGGTCACCAAGCTAATGCATGTACATAATTTGGGTGTCCCTCTCCCACTGAAATAGGTTAGCGTCCCTGATTTAATAGAACTAAAGGTAATCTTCCAGTCCCTTTAATAGTACTTTGACGGTGTTGTTCTGGTTGTTGAGCTGCCAAACAAGCCCCTCTGCTCAGCAATTTTTATTCAAACTTTGGCTCTTATCTCAATCTTCCAGAAAACTTCGATATAGAGGCCCACATTTCTCTGAGGACTTTGTGTGATTCAGCATAACTGTAAGATCTTAAATTCCTGTAGAGCATGAGGTTAGTGAACTGTATGTTGATTAACGCCGACATAGCCAGCTTGTGAGCACTGCTATTAGAGAGCGCTAGAGCTGCATTAAAATTCTGTACTTTGTTTTGAAACACAGTAGATGTATTAGATCTGCTTCAATAACCCACTTGTAAAGTACAATGTCCTGTACCATGGCAGGAAGACAAATACAAATTGATGGGGCTGCGGAGTAAATATTTTACTTGGACCCATACATTCCCCTCCAATGTTTGGGGAGATCCTGCTAAATATTGGAAGTGAGGCTTATCCTTTGTGTACTAATGGTTAACATTTCAGAAGAAAGAGCGGCAGTGCGTTATGAAACAAAAATGAAAAATTGTTATCGTCCCTTTCTGGGGAAACCCTAATCACAAAATCTTATGACTAACAGGGTTATTTGCTAAAGTGAAAATTGTCTGAAATTCAATGTGACTTCAAAATAAATGTCAAATTAGAGGCCAAAGCAGCAGATCTAGAAGCACAGTTAACTATTCTCATTTTAGTAAGTAACCCTGTAAAATGTAAATTGATTATAGAAATAGGATGTGTGAGAGACTGAACCAGTTGGAATTATTATTATTATTATTATTTTATATATATTTTTTTATCTTAAAAATAAAACATTTATTGTTTTGCATATCAATGTGAAATAAATCAAATCTCTGGAAGACCACTAAGAATATAGAAATTATATTTCACCTCAAAGGGGCACAAATGTGTATTCCTGGCACTATGGTTCTAAAACCACCATTTAGGTGGCCGGCCGCCTTTTCCTCGAGTTAGAAAGGTGATTTGCATCTGGCCCCACCCCCACCTCCTTGGCTGACATCATCAGTATAGATGATCTCAGCCAATCGCAATGCTTTCCCATGGGAAAGCATTAGATTGGCTGGGATCGTCAGTACTGATGATCTCAGCGAAGGGAGTGGGGGCGAAGCCAAACACAGCCCTGGCCAATCAGCATCTCCTCATAGAGATGATTGAATCAGTGGCGTACCTACCACGGTCGCAGGGTTCGCTGCTGCAACCGGGCCCCTCACTGCAGGGGACCCTGCTGCAGCCACGACCCCTGTGACCGTGAGCCACCTAGATGTCGTGTCCTCCTTGTTCCCCCTGACATAAGGGGGCCCAAGAGGTGGGCCACTGGCCACTGGCCACCTAATGGACCTCCCTGGTGGGCGGTAGAGTTCCTGTCAGACGCTGCGAGGGAGCGGTGTTCTCTCTACTCTGCTCCCTCGAGCGCCATTTGCGGATGCCGGGAGCCGTGAAATGACACCATATTCCAGCTCCCGGCATCAGTAAACAGCCTGCGAGGGAGCAAAGCAGAGAGAACACAGCTCCCTTGCCGTGTCTGACAGGAGCTCTGCCACCCGCCGCACTGAAGCCCCACTGGACCCCAGGGACAGATCCATGCCATCTCTTCAGGTAGTGAGGCTGGGTGGACATTAATTATTAATAATTTGTGTGTGTATGTGTGTGTGTCTGAATGTGTTTAAGTGTGTGTCTTTATGTGTGTGTGTGTTTGTCTGTGTGTGTCTGAAAGTGTATGTGTGTCTGAGTGCATGTCTGTATGTATGGGTCTCTGTGTGTGTGTGTCTACATGTGTGGGGAGGGGCGGGGGGTAGGAGATAGATGTATGGGGGGCCCCCAAGGCAATTTTCGCACCGGGGCCCCATGGTTTCTAGTTACGCCTCTGCATTGAATCAATGCATCTCTATGAGGAAAGTTCAGTGTCTCCATGCTGAGGATGGAGATACTGAATGTCAGTGCTGCACACTGTACAGCACTGCCACAGGAAGCACCTCTAGTAACTATCTGAGGAAGAAGTTTCTTTCTACTGAGGAACTTTCATCTCTTGGGAGATAGTAGTGGAGGTGTGTGTGTGTTTGGGGTGGATTGGTCTGGTGGAACCCAGATAAGAAGTCAAATTGTTCAAAATCATTTGACTGCTTATACTGGGAGGGTGTCAGGGTTCCCTGGTCCCATAAGCAATACAAAGAACTGTAGTGGTTATAGTACTTAGAGGGATCCTTTAATTAAAGAAAGAAAACAAAGTCATCTGTGGCTCTAGCATTTAAAGGTCAACTGAATTTTAAAAGTATTCTTTTGCTTTACACATATATGAAACTGGGAGAGGAATCTCAATGTATCCCTCCTGGTAAAATATTTTATAACTAACTAAATAAATATATATATATATATATATATATATATATATATACACACACATACACACACACATTTTTTAAAGCATTAACAATTTGGAAAAGTCACCATATCTTACGGTAAATACACTTTAAAGATACAATGATAATATTTTCTGCTTCAAAGTAAGATCACTGCTCCTGATATGAAAGACATTAGTGAACACAGACTGGATTTTCTAGACAGATTTAACTGCAGGGACTTAAACAATGATGGACAGTTGTGATTGGCCGATAATGTGCAAATGCTGATAGTTGGGAAATGGACAAAAAATAAATAAAAAGCATGAAAAAATGTATGTGTAAATAAAAATAATAATAACCACCATGTTAGTAGTTCTATATCACTAGTAAAATAGAAAGTTGTTTCAATACCAAAGTAAAATCCTTGTGATTATCAGCTTTTCGTACAGACGTTTTACAGAGCCTCCAGGCCTGAATCTACATCTCAATTGCCTGCAGATGCAGAACTCTCCGTTGTCCTAATGCACATAAAACAATGCAGCTCTCTGTTTCTTGCTCCAAGAGAATCAGGAAGCAAATGTCTTACTCCTTCCCTCCTTCCCAAAATAAAAAAAAATGGTTATGTAAATACCACGTTGACAAGTGAAAAAGTCTGAATCCCCCCCCCCACCCCCAAACAAATCTGAAATGAAAAGTAAATGTATATTTGAAGTCGGAGTTAGGCAACCCTAGTAGATACCTGCCCGCTCTGCCAATTGGCAAATCTGGCCCTGACAGCACCTGCTTTCTATTAAGAGATTTTATGCACTTTAATTACAATAACATTGATGCAACGGACAATCTGGTGCTGACTCATGTTTTCTCCACTGACAAGTTTGTGCTGTTTGTTCAGACGCTTTCAAATGAAAAACTTCAAAAACCTTCTTAATAATAATAATAATTAAGAAGGCTTTTGAAGTTTTTGAATAATAAAACAGTTTGTTCTTTTTCTTCCTATGTTCATATCACCCTAATTGATATTTTAGACCACAGCATTCTGAACTGTGTGGCTCGGCACGTTAGTGTGTCGGCTACACAGTCTGAGTGTGTCACGCAAATGAGGTGTCTGACAGGAAGGGGAGTGCATTGCACAGCGCTCCCCTTCTGCCAGTCACTCCATGTTGTGTGGCCAAGCAGGTGGACCGCAGTAGAGGAACTTCACTGAGAGCACAGAACTGCTTCCTGTTAGACCGGGTAGGGGAAATAGAAGCTCCTCTACTGCTGTTCGCCTGCTAGGCCATACTACATTGAGGGAGGTAAACATAGGTAAAGGGCAAAAACACACCGAGAAGCCACAAGGGGACACACAGATGGGCTGAGGGAGGAGAAAGAGACACACAGAGGGGCTGAGGGGGACAAAGAGACACACAAAGGGGCTGTGGGCGGGACAAAGACACAGAAAGGGGCAGTGGGAGGGACAAAGAGACACAGAAAGAGGTTGTGGGAGAAACAAAAACACATAAAGGGGCTGTGGGAGGGACAAAGAGACACACAAATTGGCCGTGGGAGGGACAAAGAGACACACAGAAGGGTTGGGGGAAGAGACATACAGAGGGGAACGGGAAAAAGAGAAACATTAAGGGGTTTAGGTAAGAAAGAGGCCTGCCAACCAGCCTGGCAGCTGCAGCAACCAACAGTAAATAAGTTGAGAAGAGCCAAATTGAGCTGGGTTTATTATATTACCATATTGTGAATAGGGGTCAGAGTGTTAGAGAGACGGTCAAGGGATCATACATGAAGTGATGTGTTTAAGAATTAGAACACTGTCTGGACCGCTGCCATGCCTGAAAAGTGTATAACCAGCATGAAACATTTGGAAAGCTATGCTTTAGACTTTACTCTAGAGATTATAAGTACATAAATTCTCATTGTATATGAATGATGACTATCATTTCTTTGTCTTACCATATTATTAAAATGTCAGTTTAAAGAGACACAGCATAATGTAGTGGTTCTGGTGTCTATAGCCTCAGGACCACATTAAGAGCCCATTGGGCCTGGTGCTGACAATGATTGGCCTTATTATAGAATCGTATTGACAGAAAACACTAAAACCGTTATCCCTCCCAATCGTCATGTATCTGGTGGGGGTGGTGCTGGAGGGAAACTAACAGAATATAGCTTTAATAAAACACATACTCTATGCTAATGTCTTGCTTTCATCTTTTAAATAAATTCATACCCACTAAATGCTGTGTCCGGCGGGGTAAAAGGGCGGGCCACTGACGCAAATCACGTAACCAGAACCACCCAAAGGGGTAGTCATTCCCCCAAAAAATCTGCCTGAGACTTTAGAAGGTCAGCCTGGTGTAAATGCATGTCAGGCCACCTGAAAATCATGCAGGCTTGCCAACTAAGGGAATACCATGCAGGCAGCACCCTGAGCGTGGCATAAATGCGTCTAATGATGCGCTCGCTCCACGCTTTCTAACTAATACTCATTTGTCCACTCCTCTCCTTATCTTCTTACTAACTGTTATACAGACTGCAATGGGCCTTTTCTATGGGTCTGGATCTGCAGCTCCATCAGCCCCTATGTTAATCTGGCCCTGTATAGCCTGTCAATGCAAACTTCCTTTTCAGAGAAATCTTACATTAGTGATTAGTAACGACTCTAGTGGCAGTCACTCAGATGGCCACTAGAGGTGCTTTCTATGTCTGGCGTTCAGCGTCTCCACTCTCTGCATGGTGCTGAACACTCCTCTTAGAGATGCATTGATACAATGCATCTATATAAGGAGATGATGAAGAGTGCAGCATTTTGCCAAACAAGATTGATGATCTCAGCCATGGAAACAGCGTCAGCCACAGTGAGAACCATGCAGCAATGGAGAAAAGGTAAGTTTAAAGAAACCCAATAGTGTCAGGAACACAAACGTATTACTGACACTATAGTGGTAAAATCACTCTTTAGGTTTCCGAACCCCCTTGGCTGCCTTTAAAAATGTGAATTTACTCACCTTTTTCCTAGTTCTGCGCCAGTCTCACCATGGCTGAGATCATCAAATTTGACAATCTCATCCAATCCAATGTTTTCCCACAGAAAAGCTGCGCCAATCAGCATCTCCACCTTGAGATGCATTAAACTAACGTGAACCTGAACACTTTGCAGCACTGACACAGGAAGCACCTCTAGTGGCCGTCTGCGGCGTGCCCACTTAAGGTAGGTACATTAAGCTGTAGTTCTCTGTCTAGTTTAGGAGAAAAAATATTTTATTTCTGCATGTAGCTCTATCCCTGGGTTTTTAATAATGCAATTCTATGCAAATCAATTTACCTAGAAACAAAGAATATGACACCGAGGATGCAAGTAAACTTAGTAGCTTGCCCTTCGGTTAGTCCCGACTGGTCTTTAAAAAAAATAAAAAATCTTTTGCTCACTTGTGCCAAGAGATCCTATAATATTTACATATGAGACTGATCCCGCTCATAAGGGCAGTCCAGAACCGAAACCAGCAAGATCCCTGTTCACGAGAAATTCAGCAATCTTGTAAGATCATTTTGGCCTTCTTTAAAACACATTTTCAAAAAATAAAATAAAATAAAATATAGGGCTCGTTCTTCACCCATAACGCTTTTCAGCAAGCTGAAGTGCTTTAGGGGTCTGGAGCGTCCCTTTAACAGAACGCTACAATGCATGATCAAAAATAAAGCATAGCAACACTCATTAGCTCCTACATTTGCAATTCCAACTGTACATTAAACAAGGCTTCATTGTATTTCATTTTGTGTCTTGCTGCATTCATTATTACAGCTGGGTACTCCATGCAATTTGTCTGGTCTGCCAAATTGCTAGATTCTTGATTCTTAGGAGAATACATTTGACACATAACGTAACTGGATCTATTTATACTCTGGAACAGATCTCATTTGTAGGATAAACATTCAGACATAACACCTGGTCCTGCAGGCTCAGTTCCCCTTATTACATAATGGGCTGTCACGGTGCTTAGAACAGCCCTCAAGGTTCGAACCTGGAATGAATTTCCTGCACTGCTGTCAGCACAAGGCCATAAGCACAATCAACTGACACCACACCACTACTTTACATTGAAAATATCAGATGAGGTCATTTTAAAATTAAAAAAAATTAACAAACGTTGGAGACATGTTAGTGTCTCTTCAGCTCCTAACCTGTGAGTAGTGGTAGAGGGCTATTAATAAAATAACTGGGGGCCTAATGTCCCCCTAGTCCTCACCCATAAGTGTTTTATGGGGGCAATTATTAAAATAAACAGGGTGGGGGGAGGGGGGCCCACACAGAGACAAAGAGTTTTCGCACCTCCACAAACACACCACTAACAATATTGTGTGAATATTCTACAACGGAGAATAGCATACATTTATGGTGCAAAAACATAATATTACTAAAGGAAAAGTAACATTAAAATTATGTATCATTGGTCATTCTCATCATTAAAAAAACTTCACAGAAGAGGTGCAAATTACTCTGCAATATTTTCAAAAAAATCTTCCCTTTGGGTCAGACAGTTAATTTCCATTTTTGACTGATGTAGCTGAGTCCTTTCCCTTTATTGGGCCCAGCTTTGTTTCGCTTCCTTCTAAGCCCTGCCATCACGACCCCATAGTGGTGCCACACTCTGGCTAAGTAGGGTCTTCCTCCTGCTCTGCACAGGAACATGTTGAAAAGAACTAATGCCACCAAGATATTCATAAGGAAGAATTAATGGGGTTGCATTGCCAGATTATACATTTAGCTCGCCTTAGTTTAGTTTGTCCAATGGAACACTCACTGCCATCTTGGAGGAGGCGGGTTCCCTACAAGTTAAGCATCTGAGTTCAATGGAGACCCAACTGTAGAGCTGTTCGGCCAAATGTGAATTTACTGCGTGCATTTAAGACACACAACTAATCTTCTACTAACGCGAGTGGACTTGGAAGTCAGAATTTGGGGGGAGGGGGAGTATATGAAGTGGAACATTGCTACATGGCTAAATATGGTTGCTATTTTTTTAATTTTTATTAAAAGCTTAACGTAAGAGCTGAAATGCCCCTATAATTTCACATAGTGTAAAAAGGTACCAAGCATGGATGTCATTACAATTTTGCCCCCCCCTGGAAAAATTCCTGCGGACGCCCATGAATGAGAGACAAATGTTAGTCACCTGATAATAACATTCACAGTTTTTAGAGGAATTAAAGTATTGACAGGCATGTTCCCTAAATTAAACATTTTATTCACTAAATATTGAATTTCAGTAAATCGAAATAAAGGAATGGAACATTTTAAACAAAATAATTGTATTTGAGAAAAACTGCAATTCAGGCTATTTTTGGCACTTTAAATTATGAATGGGTTTGATTAAGGAAGTGTATAATCTCTTAGACATCCCTCCAGTGGGGGCTGGACTGTGACCAATCAAGGACCCTCATTCAATATTAAACTTCTCAAAACTATTTTAACACTGAATCGAGGGACAGGTTTAGGAAAATCTAGGTACTATACCCAATTCAATGAGATGAAATGGTTATAGCGTCTGTGTCCTTTTTAAAAAGCGGCCTTGTCTTCTTTTGACAGCATGGGGGTTGTAATAAGATTAATTTTAAAAAGTGCCAATTACTACTGAAATCTGCACTTGTTGTAAAATGAAAATAGACACTCTTCACATATAGTAGTGTGTGTGGAACTGCACTCACTCCCATAAATCTGAGCCAGGGTGCTTGCTGAACCGAAATCAAACACCTAATTTCCAAAAATTAATAAAGTAATAGAGGTCCAGGCACTCCTTGGTTCAAGACAGGTACTTTATTAGGAACCACCATGGTGGTTCCTAATAAAGTACCTGTCTTGAACATTGGAGTGACTGGACCTCTATTACTCTTCACATATAGAATGTGAGCTCATTTGAGCAGGGTCCTCTTCAACCTATCATTCCTGTAAGTTTTCTTGTAGTTGTCCTGTTTATAGTTAAATCCCCCCTCTCATAATATTGGAAAGCGCTACGGAATCTGTTGGCGCTATATAAATGGCGAGAATAATAATAATAAAGCATTTTAGCAAGATAAAATGCTTTAGGTGTTAGGAATGTTTCTTTAATGTTATTTTTCAGACTTCACAAACACATATTTGCAATACACATGGCTTAATTTAACACAATATTACAAAAATCTGGGAAGTGATAGTACCGCTTCAAGAAAGCATTATGGTCTTTTTTAAAGAGTACAAGAGGAAACCAAAAACAGACACAATAAAATCTGACACATTGCAAGTCATGGATTATTAACCCTGACTATAGAACCACCAGCTTCTGACACATTTTACTGCTATGGTGTAACATGAGAAAATCATTGTTTGAGCAACACGTTACACAAAACTATGCATGTAATTACAAGAAAAGAAAATCAATTTCCTATTTTAATGGAAAACCAAAGGGAAAAAATACCTTCTATTAAAATTATATTTAGTCTAGCATCATATTAAGTGGTTAAACTTTACCTGGTTGTTTAACAGACAATTTCCCTTTAAGGCAAGTCTGAGCAGGATTCTGATGTGGTTTTAACTCTTACCTGTGTTCTGCTGGATGGTGAAGCAGGAGGGTTGAAAAGTCCAGTCACCAAAACCACCCCAGCCAACAGTCCAAGGAAAAGCAAGGCTCCCTTTGCACACCTAGAATTTGTGTTTCCATGTCCGTGGAGGTCCATTGTGTATTCCCAAAAACACTCTGAGAGCAAAACTTCACCTAAAGGCAAAACCCCCTCCACAGTATTCCGGCTTTTATCTCGCAATCAGTCAGTAAAGTGATAACTGGATTCCACCATCACTGTTCTGCTTAATTCTCAGCCCTTCTAGCTACAGATAGGGAGGTTTTTTTGTCCCTGTGGCTCTTGTCTCTTGGCAACTCTGCCTTACATCTTCTGCATCTCTCTGCACGTTACCCTTATCAAACCTCTTTTTTTCCCTTTTGTCTACACAGTGATTTCACTCTAGAACGCTGATTTTCTTGCAATATTGTTGCCTCTGTTAGTTGGTCTCCTGAGCATTATCTAAGCTGAGTTTCTGTCTACTTCTTCTGCCTATTTCAGATTTCCTTTCTCACTCTCTCCAGACTGAAGAAGTAAAGTCTTTGGTTTAAAAAAAAAAAAAGGCTCTGTTAGTTTATCTCTGCCAACTATCCTTCTAATTGGAGCCAAATGTTCTCATTTTTCACAGGCAAAAAGTTTGGGCTGGGACTGTTGGGGCGAGTGTGGGGGAGCGCAGGCTGAGCAGTATAGTTTGCATCCAGCTGTGAGAGGTTCAGTAAGAGGAGGGATACATCTCATTTTGACAGTTCACTTTAAGGAATCTTAAAAAAAAAAAGTACAGAAGCTAAGTCTGACTGCTAAATGCATCATGTAATCCAGCGAAGACAAAAGAGCCATATGGCACATTGCTATGTACGCTCCAGTCCAATAAATATACTAATTAATCACTTATATGATCACTCTGAGGCCTATTTATATTCTCAATGAGAAACGTTATTGTGAGGCATTTTATTGACCATGAGATGGGTAAGGAGACTGAATACAATTTATTTAAAGTTTTGACTTCCCGTAGACTGAAACAGAATGAAATGCAATTTAAGTTTATGAGACATTCATTTAATTCCAGTTAAAGCAAAATTATACCTCATAAATTACTCAGCTTAGTGACCTAGTTTCACTTGTTGTCACGGTCATTTAAATTTTGTTGTCTGCTTTAAATTTTTTATATATATATATATATTGCTTTTCAAGCAATAATAAAATGCAAATCCAGCCGGTCATTCTGTAACTCCAAAAGAAAGAATTTTCCAGTTAGTCAGTGGTGGTTAGTCTTGGCTCCCCAGCCTTTATGCCAGCTCTGGAATGGGATATTACGTTTGTAGCGGGGTGACGAGGTAAATGGGGCGACGATAGGTGGTCATGTCTTGCATGACTGAGCCGTTTCATGGTGCGCGGGCTGAGGTGCCTGGTGGAGAAACCCTCTTTATGCTTAGGGGTTACTGGAATATAAATAAATGTTTGTAGAGGGTGTGCAAAATGCCCTTGAGTTCGACATGGAGGGCAACCCACTTTGTTGGTTATTCATTGTGAGCAAGTAAAGGGACATCATTTTTGTCCCTTGTGCTGCTGACATTGCGAGATGTGATATTAAATATCTTTGCTAACATCCATCAGGATGATCTGCGAAACATGACGGATCATTTACAGAGATCTGTACATGTCCAAAGTAGATTCTGTGTCCTACAACTACATTACCACCAGTGACCAATGGTGTGTGTTATGAATCTAATGAGGATTGTGACTTCACGCCCTATGTTCACTTGTAAATACCTCCAGGTCACCATATACAGAAGAACGATGTGAGGCGGTTACTGATACCCTTGCATGGTAATGGGCTGAGGGTAGGAATTGCCACCACCCTCTCCCTTGATAGGCCCTCTTCATTCATTACCTAGTTAATAAATTGTGATTACATCCAAAACTGAAAACCTAGGTGTTTGTGAAGCCCATAGAGCAATTCAGGGCCCTTAGCTCTCTCATAATCAGCTTATTTGGTTGTACTATCTATACAATGATCAGTAAAAAAACATTAAAACCACTTGCCTAATATAGTGTAGGTCCACCTCATGCTGCCAAAACAGCTCTGATGCATCGAGGCATGGATCCCACAAGACCTCTGATTGTGTCCTATGGTATCAGGCACCAAAATAATAGCAACAAAGTTGTGAGTTGGGGCCTCGATCGGATTTGTTGTTCCAGCAAATCCCACAGATGCTCAATTGTATTGAGATCGGAGGAATTTGGAGGCCAAGGCAACACCAACTATTTCTGAACGATTTTTGCAGTGTGGCAGGGTGCAAAATCCTGCTGAAAGAGGCCACTGCCATCAGGGAACACCAGTGCCATGAAGGGGTGTATGTGGTCTGTAACAATCTCTAAGTAGGTGGTATGTGTCAAAGTAACGTCCATATGAATGCCAGGACCCAAGATTTCCCAGTAGAACATTTTCCAGAGCATAACACAGTGCATCCTGCTGCCATGTCTTTTTCAGGTAAAGGACAGGCAAACACCTGGCCATCCACCTGATCTAAAAGAAAACGTCATACATCAAACCAGGCAACCTTCTTCCATTGTTCCATGGTCCAGTTCTGATGCTCACATCCACATTGGACAAGGGTCATCATGGGCACTCTGACCGCGGCTATGCAGCCTTACACACAGATGCACTGTGAGTTCTGACACCTTTCTATCATGACCAGCATTAAGTTCTTCAACAATCTACAGTAGCTCTTCTGTGTAATTGGACCTGACCGACTAGATTTTGTTCCCCACGTGTATGACCCTGACGCCAGTTCACTGCTTGCCCTTCCTTGCATCACCTTTGATAAGTACTAACTCCTGAATACCAGTAACCCCCAACAAGACTTAGGATTTTGGAGATGCTCTGATCCAGTCGTCTAGCTGTCACCAATTGGCCCTTCAAAATCACTCAAATCTTTTTGCTTGAAATTGAACTGTTCACGTGCTGCCTAATATATCCCACCCTTTCATAGGTGCCATTGTAATGATATAATCAATGTTATTAACGTCACACCTGTCAGTTATTTTATGTAGGTCATTATATGGTGACACATGCCATTTATGATATGATTTATTAATATATGATGTGTTCCACACTCTCATAATTGTATTATTCAAGGGGAACAAACATAAAACATGTACGGTTATACCCGTTGAAGTGGTAGAGGTTAACACAGTGAAGGAGTTTAAGCATGTGTGGGATGCTAGGCTATCCTAACTATAAGATAAGGCCAGGAGCGAATGAGAGTATTTAGAAAATTGGCTAGATGGACTGAATGGCTTTTATCTGCCGTCACATTCTATGTTTCTATATTGTTGCATACATTAATACATGAGTTTGCAGAGTTCAATATATATATATATATATATGTAATGAATATATGAAGTTAAGTACTTTAAGTAGCACTGGGGAAACATTACTGCAGATCAGGGGCCCGATTGGGTGCCACGGTACTTTAAGACCATGACCGGGCCCCTGTAATGTCAGCCAGCTGGAAGAAAGTGACAGCCTGTCACTTCCTCCCAGCATCCTGCAGGGAGACACCATGGGAGAGAGAGGAGGAAGCCGCAGCATGAGGGGAGAGGAGCATGAAGATCTCCAGACCCCTCACTCCCACCAGACCCCTCACAGCAGCAGGACTCCAAGCCACCTTCCTGGCACATAAGGTAAGCTAATAGGAGGGTGGCTGGAGATATTAAAAACAATCACTTGTATGGGTGTGAGTGTGTGTATGAGTGTGCATCTGTGTGTATATATATATATATATATATATATATATATATATATACACACACACATACACACTGTTCAAAAAAATAAAGGGAACACAAAAATAACACATCCTAGATCTGAATGAATTAAATATTCATCTGAAATACTTTGTTCTTTACATAGTTGAATGTGCGGACAACAAGAATCACACAAAAATTAAAAACTGGAAACCAAATTTCTTAACCCATGGAGATCTGGATTTGGAGTCACACTCAAAATTAAAGTGGAAAAACACACTTCAGGCTGATCCAACTTTGATGTAAATGTCCTTAAAACAAGTCAAAATGAGGCTCAGTAGTGTGTGTGGCTTCCACGAACCTGTATGACCTCCCTACAATGCCTGTGCATGCTCCTGATGAGGTGGCGGATGGTCTCCTGAGGGATCTCCTCCCAGGCCTGGACTAAAGCATCTGCCAACTCCTGGACAGTCTGTGGTGCAACGTGACGTTGGTGGATGGAGCGAGACATGATGTCCCAGATGTGCTCAATTGGATTCAGGTCTGGGGAACGGACAGGCCAGTCCATAGCATCAATGCCTTCATCTTGCAGGAACTGCTGACACACTCCAGCCACATGAGGTCTAGCATTATCTTGCATTAGGAGGAACCCAGGGCCAACTGCACCAGCATATGGTCTCACAAGGGGTCTGAGGATGTTATCTCGGTACCTAATGGCAGTCAGGCTACCTCTGGTGAGCAAATGGAGGGCTGTGCGGACCCCCAAAGAAATGCCACCCCACACCATTACTGACCCACTGCCAAACCGGTCATGCTGGAGGATGTTGCTGGCAGCAGAACGTTCTCCATGATGTCTCCAGACTCTGTCACATGTGCTCAGTGTGAACCTGTTTTTATCTGTGAAGAGCACAGGGCGCCAGTGGCGAATTTGCCAATCCTGCACGGTGTTGGGCTGTAAGCACAACCCCCACCTGTGGACGTCGGGCCCTCATACCGCCCTCATGGAGTCTGTTTCTGACCGTTTGAGCAGACACATGCACATTTGTGGCCTGCTGCAGGTCATTTTGCAGGGCTCTGGCAGTGCTCCTCCTGTTCCTCCTTGCACAAAGGCAGAGGTAGCGGTTCTGCTGCTGGGTTGTTGCCCTCCTACGGCCTCCTCCATGTCTCCTGATGTACTGGCCTGTCTCCTGGTAGCGCCGTCATGCTCTGGATACTACGCTGACAGACACAGCAAACCTTCTTGCCACAGCTCGCATTGATGTGCCATCCTGGATGAGCTGCACTACCTGAGCCACTTGTGTGGGTTGTAGACTCCGTCTCATGCTACCACTAGAGTGAAAGCACCGCCAGCATTCAAAAGTGACCAAAACATCAGCCAGGAAGCATAGGAACTGAGAAGTGGTCTGTGGTCACCACCTGCAGAACCACTCCTTTATTGGGGGTGTTTTGCTAATTGCCTATAATTTTCACCTGTTGTCTATCCCATTTGCACAACAGCATGTGAAATTGATTGTCACTCAGTGTTGCTTCCTAAGTGGACAGTTTGATTTCACAGAAGTGTGATTGACTTGGAGTTACATTGTGTTGTTTAAGTGTTCCCTTTATTTTTTTGAGCAGTGTATAAATATATATATATGTCAGTGTGCTTCTGTGTCTGCGCACACATCTGTGTGTCAGGGTGTGTATCAATGTTTGTGTGTGTCAGGGTGCATGTGTGTATATGTCAGTGTGTATCTATATGTGTCGGTGTATTTATATGCATGTGTGTTAATGTGCATGAATATCTGAGTAAGTATGTATGTGGTAGTGTATGTGCATACATCCAAGTAGTCAAACACCAGCACAACATACAAGCACACTCCTGCAATCTAACACAAACAAATATTACATACAAACACACCGCTGCATTCAAACTCAAAAATATACAAACATACCCCTTTAAACACAAATGTACATCCCCATTTAAAATTACATTCAGACACACCCCTGCAACGAAACGTAAACATTACATACAAACACACCCCTGTATTAACCCCTTAAGGATGGCAGGCGTTCTATACCGTCCTTCGGGACCCGTCCTTACCACTTACCTGCTCGCCGGCGATCACAATGGGGTGACTTACCTGACATCCCACGGAGTCCCCCCGCTGCCGATCCGGCCCTCCTGGGCCATGTGATAACGAGGTCCTTGCGAGGACCTCACAATCACATGGAAGGAATAGCCGTCCCTAGCAGTGTCAGCAGGGGGAGTGCCTGGAATGACAGGTAGTCCACCTGCTGCCTGTAGAAAAGTTTAATAAAGTTTTAAAACAGTGTAAAATAAAATAATATATATATATATATATATATATATACTTACACATACATACACATACACTAAGTGTATTTTAATATTTATATATATAATTATATATATTAATATCAAAATACACGTAGAATCCAGGCTCACCTCGAGAAGAGCCAAGATGGCGGAGAGGAAGACTCACACAGACCCCAAGAGCCGGCGGCCGCTGATCTACCCGTCACACAAGGGATCCTCCAAACCCTGCTAGACACAATGGTGGACAAGCTACAGCTAGCATTCCGGATCTCCCTGGAAAGCCTCCGCTCAGATATCAGAGAACTGGGCGATAGAACATCCGCGATCGAAGATAAAATGGTGGAACACGAAGAGGCCCATAACAGCATGGCGGCAATGCTAGACAGCTTTAAAGACAGACTAGCGGCACAGGAGGGGAAAATAGCAGATATGGAGGACAGAGGTAGACGCAATAACCTCTGTATAAGAGGCATTGCTGAAAATATAGGCCCGGCAGACCTCATGGCCTACCTCACAGGACTGTTCAAGACCCTCGCCCCAGTCGTGCCCCACGATATGCTCCTCATGGACCAGGCACATAGGGTTCCAAAACCCGCCTTTTTGCCAGCGGAGACACCAAGGGACGTACTGATCCGCATGCATTATTTCCACATCAAGGAGGAAATAATGAGGGCAAACAGAACACGCAACAAAGAAGATATACCAATGACCTACCAAGCCATCTCCATATAGGCGGACATCTCTGCATATACGCTAAAACGATGGAAGGAATTCTCCGAAATCACCGCACACCTCCGCCAACAACACCTGCCGTACAGATGGGGCTACCCAGTGAAGCTGGTGGTGCAAAGAAATGGGAAGACAATCTCCGCCAACAACACCTGCCATACAGTTGGGGCTACCCAGTGAAGCTGGTGGTGCAAAGAAATGGGAAGACAATCATCCTCCAAACCCCGGACGACGGAGCAAAGACCCTTTGCAGCTGGAGCATCGAACTACCAACAGGAGCGCAAGGGACTCAGAGACTCCCTCCGTCATGGAGGAAATCTAAGCACTAAAATGCCCCCGTGAGGAGGCGTTGTGGCTGCCAGTCCGAGAGACTTAAATTCAACCAGCTGGATTAGGCCTGTATGAGTAACGCCATTTAACTTAAGAATTGTGTAACACAATTGTGTTAATGACAGGTTTAACATGGCGAGTATATATGTCAGAGACAGGGTGCTCGGGGTTGGGGGTGGTGGGCAGGAGAGATGAGGAAGTGAAGTAACGCAAAGGCAGTGGTCCTAGAGACCATAGAAAATACAGTCAGCATACAGTTCTGGTGGATAGGTAGCTCTCCCCCCCCTCCTCCCCCGGGGTCTCGTTAATGCATGTCACTGTGCAAAACAATACAAGTTTTTTTATTTTTTTATTATATATATATATATATATATATATATATATATAAAACCTTTTCTACGCCTGAATACAATATCAAGAATGAATGGCCCACACAAGGGAGAACCCGGTAATACACACCAGAGCAGAGCCGCCAACACGGGCCTCCGAGTGACATGAAAACAATGGGTCACACCAAATAGAGGAATACAGGCAAAGGCTGCGGCCACGACACTGTTGCCACGACGGAAGCCATTAGCTTCCACCCCCACAGCACCACTAGTAGGTGCATAGCCGGATACCCGGCAAAATTGGTTTTAAAGTTCATATTCTTTGGTTTTATTATTGTATGTATGTTTTACATTTTTATGTCTGCTATTCATCGAGTACACTTTGATGGACAACAGCCAAGACCACACCGGTAGGAGCTTCCAGAAAATCCTCCACCAAACCAGTAAGGGTGTTAGAACGCCAGCAGGTAACATGGGAATGGCCCCTGGGTTCGACGGAACTGGGACAGAGGGGACCCCCCGACCATAGATACCCTATACAAGAACAAACACAATACCATGACCACCTTCCACCGTGAAACTATACTCATACAATGTTAGAGGACTCAACATCCCAGTGAAAAGACACCTCCTATACAAAGAAATCAAAAATAAAGCCATAGACGTACTGTGTCTCCAGGAGACACACTTTATGACAGGAACCCACCCCGCCATTCTGCAGCGGGACTACCCACTCCAATTTCACACCACTGCCACCAACAAAACTAAAGGTACCTCGATACTAATTAGCAAAAATATGGCTTTCATTCCCCACTCGCAACACATCGACCCGGACGGCAGATATGTTATCCTAATAGGCACATTCAATGACATACCCTATAGCGAACACATACGCCCCAAACACAAACCAACACAATTTTCTCCACAAAATCATACTAAAACTACAATCCATTCAGCAAGGCACCACGATAATATGTGGAGACTTCAATCATTCGCCCCCGCAATAGATACGACCCTGGCCACATCCAAAGCGAGAACCACTGAGGAAACATATCCACAGCCATCACCTATATGATGTATGGAGGGCCACCCATGTATGAGAGAGGGGGTACACGTTCTTCTCCCGAGTACACAACACCTACTCCTGTATTGATGGGTTCCTCATTTCAGGTTCGGGCATGACCCAAGAAACCCAATGTGACATAGGGCAAACCACGTGGTCTGACCACGCCCCGGTCGAACTGACGCTCAAAAACTTATATGATCCCACGCACAGGAGCCTGTGGTGCTTAAACACAACGTTCCTGTGAGACAGAACTTTCATAACAGAATTGGGAACAGAAATAGCACACTACTTCCAGGATAATGACAATACAGACGTTTCACGCAATACCCTGTGGCAGGCACATAAATCCGTCATACAGGGATTGTTACTAAAGAGAGCATCTTTCTTAAAAAAGAAAGCCAACTTACAACTATTAACCTACCAAAGGGATCTCCAACAGGCTACAACACAGAACCAAATCACACCCACAACGGAGCTAAGAGACCACATCATACAACTAACAATGCACATACAACAACTGTCCTTAGACCAAGTGGGTTATCACCTGAAAAGACTCAAAGCACAGAATTACACACATATATACACACATATATAAATATATAAATACGTTAAAAAGAAAAAAAAAGAAAAATATATATATATATATATTTATGTAATTTCGTTTGAACTGTATTTTTTCTATATATATATATATATATATATATATATATATATATGTGTAGAAACAATCGCACTCCTGGGACTTGGTTGAAGTAGTAAAATTTTGCTTTTATTTTTACAAAAACGTTGATATTTTACATGGAATAGATAAAAGCTAAATTTTACTACTTCAACCAAGTCCCAGAAGTGCGATTGTTTCTACACCCATATCTACCTTTGCCACAACCAGCACTGGTCACTACAAAAGTCTTCTTGGAGTGCAAGCTACTACGATGTGTGCGTATATATATATATATATATATATATATATATATATATATATATATATATATATATATATATATATATATATATATATATATACATATATTGATATCAAAATACACTTATAATGAAATAATATATATATATATATATATATATATATACACACACAGACGTATATACACACATATATATATTTTAATTCTACATATATATTTATGTAATATTTTTACATAATTAAGTCATTTTATTAATTACAATTTGCGGAACCTGGCTTATAACCCAGGCAGAAAGTCCAGAGAATTTCATTTGCTAGCACTATATTTAACCCTGTAACTTTCCAAGGCATTATAAAACCTGTACATGGGGAGTACTGTTTTACTCGGGAGACTTCGCTGAACACAAATATTAGTGTTTCAAAACAGTAAAATTTATTACAACGACGATATCATCAGTGAAAGTGACGTTTTTTGCATTTTTCACACACAAACAGCATTTACACTGACGATATAATTTACACTGCACGGTTTTGAAACACCATTTGCAAAAGTAGTCAACCCAAGATATTGCAAATGGGGTATTTCCAGTCTTTTTTAGTAGCCACTTAGTCACAAACACTGGCCAAAGTTAGTGTTAATATTTGTTTGTGTAAAAAATGGAAAAAACAAATTGGAATGCCAATTTTGGCCAGTGTTTGTGACTAAGTGGCTACTAAAAGAGACTGGACATAACCCTTGGTACCTTGGGTTGTCCACTATTGCAAATGATATGCCATCATGGGGGTAATTCTCAAAATGTAACATGCTATATTTGAACCTGTAACTTCCCAAAACACCATAAAACCTGTACATAGGGGATACTGTTTTACACGCGAGACAACGCATAATACAAATATGTGTATTTTATTGCAGTAAAAGGAAACAGTATTATGACATTCACAGTTAAAATGCCATGCAGAACTAAAAAAAACCCCAACATTTCTTCTTTTTTGAAAATATTTTATTCCTATTAAACTATGTTTGATTGGAAAAATGGATCTCTCTAATATTGAACCTTTATTTCTCTGGTGGTGTGATAGTGATTTCGTAAATAATATAAGATCTAGTAACCCGATGAATAACACAATGATCTACATTGTAAAATATCTAAAAAAAAAAAATATGGAACTAAATATATATCAAGAAATGCCCCATTAATATGTCTAAAATATTATATAAAAAATATAAATTTTCAAGAATGGGAAAAATGTGGAATTGTAAAAATTGCGGAACTTTTAAATGATAACAAAATATTGCCATTTGCAATGTTACAGTTCAAATATAATCTCCCTTCGAAGGAAATATTTAATTACTTAAGAATAAAATCTTTTATTATGGGAAATGTTTTCTCGGAAAGTTCCCCATTAGACCAGTTTGTAGCATTTCACTATAAAAAAAAAATTGCATCTAGATTTAATCAATTTACAAGATGCCAAAGGCAAATAGTTAAAGCATCGGCAATGAATAATTGGGAGCAGGAACTCCACTTTTCATCCTCGGTTGAAGATTGGATTTTAGCCCTACAATCAGTAAAAAGATATATACATGGGGTGAATATACAGGAAGTATATTTTAAATTGGTGTATCGTTGGTATCTGGTGCCTACTCGCCTCCATAGATTTCAACCCACACTTCTACCAGATTGTTGGAGATGTGGTAGGGAGTTAGGTTCTTTCTCCCACATCTGGTGGGACTGTGATGAGTTGAAATCTATGAAAACAACTTTATCGGATTTGGTGGACTCTATTTTGAAGGTCCAAACTGTCATTACGGCTCAAATGTTCCTGTTTCATTTAGATATGCCAATAGTTAACATAAAACAAAAAATCCTTATGATTCACTCCTTTATGGCAATAAAAATAGTTATGGCCAGAAATTGGAGAAACATGGGCTCGTTAAACTGGCATGACATATGTATACAATTAGATTATCAACGCAGGATGGAAGCTGGGGTAGCCTCAAATAAGTTATCCAGAGAGAAATATGATGAAACTTGGGCCCCTTGGGTTAGATATCTTAGCCGTAAAAACACAACCCCCTTTCTATAGATAGCTATACTTAGGTAGCACCAATGTGAATTGACAGTAAGATAGAGGAAATGTATGTTATTTTCTCTTTTTCTTTTTTTTTTTCTATGGTTTGAATGTTGATAATGCAGCTAATGTTCAAGTGTATGAATTATGGTTATATTAAACTTATGTGTAACTATAAATCTATTGTAAAGCAAAATATTGCACCATAATGTAATGTAATATCTAATTATGAGATTGCATTTGGATGGAATTTTCTTTTAAAAATGAAAAATAAAAATTTATATATGAAAAAAAAAACTATGTTTGTTAGCTAAAGTTAAATAAAAGCCTTATTTCCCCTGAATAAAATGATATATAATAAGTGTGGGTGCATTTTATATGAAAGAGGTGAATTACGGTTGGACAGACATATAGTCAAATTCCATGTTTTGTTTACGTTTTATTTTGATCAAAACGTGTACATTTGGCTCAGTCCTTAAAGGGTTAAAACACAATAACTATACACAAGCACCCCTTTAAACACCAACACTGTACATTACACTATAGCGCCAGTAAATGCCGCAGCGCTGTACAGATATACAACCTACACATTTTGACTTGGGGTGCCTT